ATAGTGAGAATGGAACAGTGTTGAAATAAAATCCATATTAGAAATGCAGTGTTACAGATTTGATCACTAGCTGACATCAGTTAGAGAACCATCGGAAAACCTAGGAGTACTGGACGGCTGTTTCACCCCAGTTGGGGACTCCTCATCAGCACGCACCTACGGGGTTTTGAACTTAGACCTCCCATTCACAAGGAGAGCTCGTAAACCATCCAACAACTGGGAGCCGATTCCAATGACTATGAATCCCAACTTCCGCTAATTCTCGATTTATATTTAGCGCGATCTCCAGTTAGTGTCATAGGCAAGTAACCTGTAACCAATCAAATCCCTGCAGACCAACATTTGATAAATACATTATTATCAATAGGCAATAATAATGATGATAGTGAACTAAAAATCAAACAAGAATGTTATCCTGGCTATAGTAGGACGAGTAAATGTATTAATTGCTTAGAAATATGGATGTCAGGTTTAAGGTACCAAATAGCTAGTGATTCAGCTACTTATTATTAGAGGATTTCAAACCGTCTTGCGTATTAATGGAAACTCTGTGGATTACTGTGTGGCGGTCATACACAGGAGGTAGATGTCCAGAATTGAAGGAAAGAATACAACGATAGGAAAATAAAGGTTGCATGTATCCTTCTGCTTACAGTTATTCTTCTAAGTACTCGGCTACAAACATCACTGTACTGCATCAGTAACCAATAAATCAACTCTGAAAAATCACGCATAAGGGACTTGAACAAAAACCTAATGACGGTACACTGAACAAAGGTGTGTATGATAAAGAGTTAATTAATGAACAGTGGTGAATATATTCAGGATTTCAATAATACAATAGAACTAATTATTTCAATTCCCCTGAGAAATATACAAATATAATTTTTACTTGTTTATATATGTCCAAATCAAGTTCACGTTTAACGGTTTGAAAAAATCTGGGCATTGGATAAACGATGTTCATATTATAAACTTTTTTGTTTTACCCAATAAATGAAAAACAAAACGATATTGTTTTCACTTGTCTACTCTAAACCCAGTAACAAATGTTTGTGAAGCTATTCGGTCAGATCTTGATTATAGTTCATACAAAGGATGTATAAATTGTACATTTTTCTTCATAAGTTTATCATTGATAATTTCACTTTGATTGATTCCATATTAGATAAGTTTAATTCCATATGTTACACAGTGGTGCAGTGTTGACTACTGATGAAGCTTCGTACAGAATTTATTACTCATAATTATATCATTGTCATATGGCTTCATGATTTGCTTTAAATATGTATTTCTATCTATCTCTCCCTTCCCTTGTTGTTCGTTGCCACTTTCCGTATCTCCAGTGTAGGCGTCGCGTTATTTCGATTTCACGTGTGAGCTATTGAATCGATAAACGAAGCTTCAGTAATTAAACTCTCTCTCTCTCTCCACCTAACTACATTACTTTTACCCTGTCTCCCACTTTAGATCTAAAGTTGAATTAAATAATTAATATGACCCGTTGTACAAGAAGTAGCTCTCGTGTCCCAGTTGGTCTAGTGGATAACGCTTTGGCGTTTGAAACTGGGCACTGGGTGCGAACACCATCACTCACTGCGGAATGCAAGTACATCCAGTGACGAGTCCCAAATAGGTCGAAATGAGCATCCTGGATTCCATTGCTAGTCACCATCCAACAAATTAGTTGGTTTGACATTCAAGCATAAACAGTCTTATTTAATCTACGTTTCTCTTGTAATGCTATTCCCGGAAGTATGTTACCTGAAATATCTACAATAAAAATATATATGAGTGTTGGTGTAGTTGTGTCATCTACGTCGGCTGGTTTATTTGCGAAGCCTTCATTATCTATCAAGACGTCTTCAGCATATACACACAATGATATAACTACATCAATATTATCCACCTGAGCTAAAAATCTCTCCTCCATAGTCTTCAGTCTCCGTTTCTTTTGAGTTTTATAAAGATATGTGCGTCTGCTGATGCCCACAAAACTAACATTCTGAAAAATAAAGGGCGGAATTGGGCAGGTTCGTTTATTTTCATTGGACACCAGGTAGTAACTGGTGTCATGCATCTGGTCCTTCATTTGGTGCAAACTGAATTCTGTCAATCAAGTTTGCAGTGTGGTCACTAGGTTGAATGGTTCGCCATCACAGTATACTCTGAATTTTCAAGTGTTGGTTTGTAGGGATTTGATTGGTTACAGAATTTCATCATGAGCTGACATCAGTTAGAGAACCATTGGAAAACCAGCTGGGAGTACTGGACAGCCAACTGTTTCGTCCTAGTTTGTGACTCTTCATCAGTACGCACCCACCACTCAGGTTCGCACCCAGGACCTTCTGGTTACAAGGCGAGCTCACATACCATTAAGCAACTGGGACCCGATCCAATGGCCCATGAATTCTAACTTCACGACATAGCGCGACCCCTAGCCAATGTCTTCAGCGAGTATTTGTCCTCACACCCGACTGGTCACGACTTTTCACTAGAACCCCAGGTAACTACCTACCTGAATAGGGCAAGTCGCTAGTGAGCATCTCGTTGATATTCAAGTGTTGGTTTGAATTGTTAGATGGTTGTAGGCAATCAGTAAGAAGCTTTGGACCTAAGCTACGTGCTTTTTGGCACTCATCAGCAAGACGTATCTACAATCTTGAAAGAACTCATGTCTGTTATGAGATTCGAACCTGCCTCACCTAGTGCAACAGTCGGAGACGCTACCACTGAGATATTCGGCCTCGCTACTGACCTCCTAAGGACTGTAATGGATTCATTGATTGGACACTGAGTAGTAACTAATTTCATGCATCTAGTCCTTGGTGTCAGCGCAGACTGAATTCTATCAGTAAATTATGCCATTTTAAAAATCAGTACTTGTAATAAAATGAACTGAAAAGCAAACGATAACCTTATTGTTTGTATATTATTCATGACAAGTGATTGCAACTGCGAAAACTATTCTAATGAAGTTTGACAAAAATTGTGAGTTGAACCATTTTTACCAGCAGTATATCCGAAAATGATTGATGATCTAAAGAGAAGGGATACAATAACTACATCAAGTTAAGAAATTAGTGTAAACAGATGGTAAATATAACTATAATTGTGATTGGTGATAATCTATACGTCAAGGGAGTTGTCAAATCTGTGCTGACCTTGAACAATTTTACTATCAAGGGAACACGTGACTATGGGTTAAAGAACGGATGTATAATGTTTAAGTGACATTCGTAATCCTGATGAATAAGAATGAGGATAGACAGATAAATAATCACACGTTATACGCCCTTCAGAATTGAGGTAAACATGAGTTGTACTCGTTAGCATAACTAGAAAGAAATAGGAACAGATTTCTGTGACTTTCTCCAACTTAATGGTATGACTTAGTGTCTTGACGATCGTTTCACATATACCATGGCTGACAATAATAAAATGTTTGATAATTCATCTAAGATAAAAGTACATCTCGAAAACCAATCGATTTTAATAGGTCAGGTAGTCCATGTTAGGAAAAAGGTGGAAGTCAATTATTTTCTGTACATATAGTTTGGGATGCATGTGATTAGGCTAACGCGTTTTCATCACGTTTAATAACCTTATATTTAAGTTATAGGACATAACTGGGAAAGTCATTAATATTGATTTTGTGATCAGACATTAATAAGTGGTTTGCAATGGATGATTAAGAACATCATGTAACTTCGAAACCACTCAAGAACATTTCTTTCCAACGAGGATGAGACATTCTATCAATCTACCAATATATAAGTCTACACAACTGCAGGTGAACTCCCAGTTAGCGAGAAGTAGAGCTGATAAAATTTCACGCTTTAATTGTAGGTACAGAAAGTGAGAATATTCGAGGTAAGGAAAAGTAATGTGGTGTAGAATCCGTGTGGTTGATAGCCAACCGAGATTTAAAGTTGTCAGTTGCATGATTTGGCCACCTTTGGATGTTAGTTCACAACAGACAGCTTTCTTTAGCACAGAAGTTGGCTTTCAAAGGAGTAGCATCTCCTTTTTATGAAGTTTTCAGGATATCCACTAACCAGCAAAGCTGAATGTTTGTAGTGTAACTCATCCATTAATGCATCGCTGGGACAAATATTAAGGACTCTTTGAAAGCATACATTTCACTAGGCCACATTTGTACTGAGTAGGAGCAAAACTGCTGAAATGAAAACATTGTTAACTCGATACCAGTTTGCGAAATATCGTCACAACACGCCCAGTTATTCCGTCGTCCAGCCTAGTCATTGAAAAATCCCAGAAGTCCAATTCGAATTTACAGCCTGAAAACTGTCAGCATACCTTACATCTATTCTCTAACTTTGACACACAAAAGTCAGCTAACAGGGGACAAAAAACAACTTCACATTCCAACACTATCTATTAGTTTGTATGCTTTTCCTTGTAAATTGAATTTGATATTATCTGTACATGTCATGATAATATCTTTGATGTAAGTGACAGATAAAGATTTTTGTAGCCGACTGCTTGTCGTATAATCGCGAATGAAATCAACAGTCTCGTAAAATGGAACGCCGGTGGACATAGATTCTGTGTTGATTGACCACATAACCTTTACCTAATGTTGTCAAGATTGAATGTACTTTAGAAGGGGTGTTTTGATAAGGAATCTCTTGCAGGTGTAAGGAACTCCATAGAGCATTTGGCTGTTTTACAACATATCTAAGATCAGTCTCTTAGTGAGTTCCCAGACTTGTCGGTATTCAGAAGATATCTTAATCAGAAATAACATCAAGTAAAAAATGACAGAAAAATTTTTAAAATAGAGGAAACAGATTTTCAATCTCCGACTTTACAAAACCTCATCAGTGCACGCCTGGAACCTTAACAGACAGGGATCCAGCCAAAATCCTTGAAATTAATTAAAAGTACACCAACACCGCCATTTTAAACAATGTACTTATTTTGTCGATTATTTGAAGCCCCCCCCCCTCCAAGTGAAATGAAAACAAACGAATTTTAAATAACAAAAGTAAACTATTGTATAAAAATGTCTTGACATTATCAAGGTAACAAAAATGTCAACTGAAAAAAAACTCTATTGCTTATATGTGTGCATAAATATTCACAATTCTCAAAATTGTAATGAATTGTCAAAAAGAAAAAATGCAGAAAATAAAAAACTCAAACACAACTTTTGCAGTTAGTGAGTATGTTTAAAAGCTTTTCCTTATGAAATTCTTTTTAGCCTAATCCTTCGCATCACCTATACCATCTGGAAGAATAGCATACATGGCTTCAGCTTCTGGAAGACAAGGGCTGTCGTATATTTTACAAATTCTAGTCTCACCACGACCTTTTCGAAGGTATAATCTAGGAGAAATTTAAAAATAAAATACAATTAGTACATTTTAGAGATGAAGAATTGGGCTTTGGTCTGAGGGTGACATAGGGGAGAATGTGTGAAGATAGGGGCTTATGGACAATCGTGGAGCCAGCTAAAGAGTGCAAATAACAAGATGAAGTGGAGATGTGCTGTTGAAGCTCTATGTTCCACTTGGAACCTGAGGAAATAGGAAAATTATATATATATATATATATATATATATATATATCCTAACCATCTCAATCGGTGTAACTTCACAACCTCATCGATTGATCTCCCCTCCTTACCCACCACTCGAAGCCTAACCTCAATATTTCTTACCTTTTTATACCACTTAGCACGGGAGATAGGACGCAGACGCCTATGATCAAAGACAGCTAACCAGCCTTTTCATGTCTTCCACCTTTAATGGCCATGTCTCACAACCATAACGGAGGACAGAGCGAACTGCTAAGCAGTACACACGACCTTTGGTTGACAACCAGCCGTATATCATGTCTACGTCAGAGATGGTGTAATTTGGCGTATGCCAAACGAGCCTTCTAAATCCGTGTTGAGATTTCGTCAGAAATCAACCCGCTGGCGTTGGTTGACGCAACTCCCTAAATAAGTGAAGTGGTCAACACGCTCTACCACTACAGTGCCTCTCTGTATTTAAGCTAGGAGTCAATGTAGTCCAGTCTTGTAGCATCATTTTAAATTTGACGGCGACCCAAAGTAGGTCGCTATTCTTTACTTTCACCACACATATTTTGAAATCTCCACAAGTTAGTGAAATAAAAGTTAAAACCACCATATGAACAAGCTGTACATATGATTGCTGATGGATACTGAAAACTGTCACAGAAATAAATCCATTGTGAAAAAAGAGAACACTTTATTCCAAAAGTTGTCTATAACAGATTATGAGAATTGCTGCCACAAAGGTTAGAGATATATTTTTTACAGAAGGGGAAGAATGACGCTTAGTCTTTTAGTTAGCCTAATCATATGGAAAAAAAGTGGATATGTTAATGAGCGTCTGAGACCAACTGGCTAAAAGTCGACTACTTAAGCTAGTAAGATATTCATGATACTCTAAAATCAGTCAAGGAACAACAGCAGAAGTAGTTGTTTATAGAAGCAACGACTAATTTTCCTCACTTCTTGAGTTCCGAGTGAAATTATTTAGAAGTTTCAGTAACAGTGGCGTGGTTTTATAAGATGCAGTTGCTGACCTCATACCCAACCTTCCAACTTTTCTCGGCTTACTATAGGCTGGGAGAGATTTAAGGATGCATCGGATGGAAATAGGATAAGAACCTTCCGAGAGACTGGGAAGCATTCAAACATTGAACTAGGGAGTTTTATTTTCACTGAAACGAAGTTATATATTAAATTCATATTGTTCAGGAATTTTGTTTAATTATAGCGTACATTTTCGTCACGATCGCTAAACGGGTTAGTCTCTTGATCTGAAGATACTAGGTTTGGTCACTGCTGGGGTCATGTGCACGCAATAATGATGAGTTTCAAACTAGGACGAAACAACTGTTCAGCGCTCCTTGGTTTTCAGTGATTCTCATATCAGAAAAACGTGGCTGTAGTCAATGTATCGAATTTTTTTTACCATATGACACAAATTTAAACTTTATTAACTACCAAACTACAAATCTATTAGACTGTTAAATACAAATAAACGTGATGCCTATTTTCGTTCTTAAACTAGTCCAGTATTTAGAACTTCTATGCTCAGTAAACAACAACGACAACAATATACACAACCAGATACACAGTGTTACTGACTGACTGACATGAGTAGTTGGATACGACTCACATCGAACAGTAGTGCTTACTAGCCAGATCGAAGTGATCTAAACATCGGAGGGCAGTTTTGCTTATTTGGGGTCGAGGTAATCAATAGTGTACTCAGTTCGATTCAGGTCAGACAGCCAAATCAGTTTAAGTTATTCGAATTTCAGCTAGCTAATTGAGCGAGCTGGTAATATATTGGATAAATAAGTAAATTAATTTACACATTGTGAATTTGATACAAACTAACACAGTTTAATAAAAGGATGTCTTGAATGAAAGTATAATTAACGTTTTTTTGTAAAATAGTAAAAAAATAAAGACAAACCGAGTAGTTGATGCATGACCCATTATATTTCCACCGATAGGCTTTTTAGGATCAGCGGAGAACATAGCAGCCCCATCAACTTGTGCAACGACTTGATTAGTAATTACTACAGCCACACCAAATTCATCTGCTAAGCGTAGTAATGTACGCAGAAATCTAGCCAAATGCATTTGTCTAGCTGATAATTCTCCACGACCGGAATAATCAGTACGATAAAGTGCTGTTGCACTGTCAACAACCAATAATGCATATCTGTAGTTCAAAAATAATGTATGACATAATATTACTGAAGGATTATCTAGAAAGCAGGGAATTTTCAAAAATATACAGAGAAATACAAAAGAGTAACACATAACAGTAACAAACATAATCTGAAAATGATATAAAGATAAAATGGCTTATTTTATTAACAATGATAGTGTTTTAGCTGTGGCTTATTCGTTCAGGAGCTCAACTTTCAGCCGCTGGTTGCGCTCGTCGGAATGCTGAAAATGGATGACTGGAGGCTTTTAATGACATATGTTAAAGTCGTTAACGATACAGCAGATATATTTGTAACTTAGTAGCCTGCTTTACGATGCTTTGGCGTCAAAAGTTACAATCTCAGCAAGAATGCAAGCGATGAATGAAACTAAGAATAAAAATCTCCTGTGCAGTATTTACTGACGATAATATTTGGGTCCAAAATACTGAAAACAATAAGGAAAAGCCTAAAATTTCATTTTGTCGGTTTCTTATCAGCTGCATTAAATCTAAAGAAGAAAGTAAGTTCAACTCAAAGAACAGAAACAGAAAAGAATTATAACACATTAAAGTGGAAGAAGTTAAAGCAAAGATTAAGTAATCAAATGAAAAGAAGAGTTAGTTACTTATTACCAACCTATACACACCTTGCCTTTTTCACACAACTCCTTTTTTGAAGTATCCAAAATTACTCCTACGTTGAATGTTTTGTGTAGAGGTTACATAAGTGTAACTTCTGAGTACATTCTATTATTTTTGGAGTAACCTGCTGATTAACATCATGCTACGTTTGCAAGCACGTTAAGAACGTCTCTGAATATATATTTGAAAAATATATTTTTTAAAAGGTTGTCTGTGGCTGAGGAAAAGCTAACGGGATAAAACGATACTACCTTATTCTGGTCAAACTGTTGCTTTTACTTGATTTGAATTGATAAAGGGGAATAAGGGTATGAAATAAACTTAAACTTATAGTTCTCGCTTTCCACATCTCTGTTTTCATTAATTTATGCACATAAGTAATAATTTATACAAATTATCGCGGCTCCTGGATGTATCCAAAAGTAAGGCCTTTTATTTAGAATAAATTGAACATCTGATTATAATAACGTTGAAGACTATTTTGGAGCACATCAATTAAACCAATTGGCTTTTAGATATTTTTGTAAGCATTTAAAGCTAAATGTGGTGAAACTGACTAACAGGTATCCGTTGGAGTCCGTTTTCAATTGCACCGCAAAACTTAATACTCTTCAATGATTGGGCAGCAGTTAGGAAGTATTTTATTGAATTTGGATGTGGTTCTTGAATGGTAATGTGTTAGGCATGCAAAGAGACAACCGTGGACTCAATTTTAGTTGGGTTGGTAGGTTCATAATTCTAATTTAAGTAAATTAGTACTGACTGATTGCCACTTGCTTTTCAGTTGACACTGGTTTGTGATGAAGGTATTTATGAAACGTACACCTTATTTAAACATTATTCTATTCCACATCACTTCATTACACTAGACTGATGTACTCTTAGTAAGGATCTATACCCATCTCCTTATAAGAAGAAATTACCATAAACATATCAGTATTTAAACTAAGAATAAAAAGAGGTTACCTTGATTCGCTCATCATTGCTGCGGCGTTAATAAGTAATTCCATCTGGTGATCCGTATTGTAGGCTCGAGCATATGCAACATTGTCTAGAACATCACTGCCAGAAAGACCATATCGCTCAGCGACCGCCAACAAACGTTCAGGACGGAAAGTACCCTCTGTATCAATGTACAAACATTTCCCTTCACCACCGCCCATATCAATAGGCAACTAATGATAACATGAATAAGAAAAATTAGTATGTGTATCTCCAGCAGAAATATTTTATAAAGATAAAAGTGTACGCTGCACCCAATGTGACTGTAAGTTATTAAGATCCAAATTGTAAAATGAAGCTAATAAAGGAATAACTCATGAAGTATCCACATTGAAAAAGGCATGGTTACAGGTATCCGGTATCACCACTATTTTTTATAAGGGAAGAACTACTCGAACTATCCGTGCTCTTTCAAGAATTCAGCGACCTTATCTACACGTATCTAAGAGTTGGTCATCGTATACTATCACTAAATGAAAGGGACTTTGCAAGTATTAGCCGTTGCAGACAGAAACTAATGGGTATTTAAAGGCACTAGTATAATTAAAACGACTGATAGGGAAATGTGACAGAGGTTTTTATTTCGTATGGGTGTCTAGCGGTAGACACAAGTTAGTTGCCTGGCTAATACTTCTTGGTGTTAACAGATTTTTTTTTTGAAAACCATCTCGTCACTGCAAGCTAGGCAAAAATGGTTTCGCAAGCGTGGGAACATCATGGAGATAGAAGTATTGCTTGTGGCCAACTACTTTACAGTATGTTAGTTACAAAGCGGCCAAACAAGTGACAACCCTAAGGGATATCAGTCAATAAATTGTCGTTTGATAACAGTTATGTGGTAAGTTGTTAAAACCGGAGACAGAATGTTCATAACAAAATTTGACACAATACCTTCACTTTGCATATGCGTGATTCAACTGTATGAGATGCTAAGGTGTGGTACAGATAGCTTAGCCGACAATATGATCGACTTATATCACTCATCTTATAGTGTTGCACTAGACGATGAATAAGTTTCACGAAGGTTAAGCTGAAATTTAATATCCATCTAATATGCGTTTTACAGGTAACCTGACGATTTAGGCTCTGAACTGACCTTAAGAGAAAACTTAAATGGGATTCTAGAGGACAGATGCTATAACTAGATGTTTACGGGGATGAAGCATATTCAATTTTTTCATCAAGCTATGAACACTCTTTTTGGACTTATATGGTTTTCTTAATAATCTATGGAAACTAATGAAAAATATGGAGAAATATGAACTCGAGATCAGTTAATACTCCAAAACTCCAGGTGAATAAAAATTTAATGATAACATTCAAAAATGAGAAATGCAACCTACCTGACAAGTTACAGCTAAAGTATGACATATCTGAGTTTTGCCCGTCCGAAATTCCCCAAATAATTCAGTAATTGATCCAGTTTCGATTCCACCTATATATAACAATCAGCATCAAACAAATCTGCGACACCTTGTAAGAGTTTGTCCAACTCCTTGGAACCAGTAGTCAGCTGAATAATTTCTGATCGCTTTTGGTGAAATTCGGTAGCAGTTGTAAATCCGAATGGCACTAACTTTTGTGCAGCTTCCTAAAATTTGGTGAGAGCTTGAAAATGTTTTACTATAATTTTATCCGCCTTAGCTTCGCTAATGCCTTTTACTGCCAGCAGAGTCTTTTTCGGAACAAACTGGATGCTCTCAACAGTGTGATAGCCTGCTTCTCGGAGTTTTTTGATATCAGCTGCAGCAATTCCAGCAGACTAAGAGGGGAAAGCAGTTTGTTTATCATAAGTCTTTGGTTAAAAAGAACGAAAAATTATATGAAAGACGCAAATTTCTTATGTGTACTATGCTGTCAGTAGTTTTAGTCGGATGAATAGAATTTCAGTCTCGTTTTCTGAAGTATTAGACTATTATCAGTCTACATATCAACAGTGAAGGCGAATCGAAGACAGGATATGACAGCATAATTTACTTCAGTAATGATTGATTAAGAAGGAAACACTGAGGCGCGAAAGCAGACAAAGAAAGAATAAATGCAAAATCTCAACAACTTACGATGTCAGAATGCGTCCGACATAACCTGGTTTACTTTTATCAATACTATTTAAGTACCGTCATCCAGATGGTGCAAAAGCCAGAGTAATAATCTGAGTAAGAAACGAGCACTAAATGACTCTATAGATCCATACATAGCTAAAAATCTTAGTCTGGCATCTAATAAGTTCTTAGTCTCTCTACTTTTGATCACATTAAGATGCTGGCTAACCCAGCCTTAATAATTTGGGGAGAGTTACAAAGTTGAAGACCACCTAACTTATGTCTTTCAATAACTGTGAGAATGTAAATAAATTTATAAATGAGTTTTATGGTAAGTAGCCATGCAATAAGTCAACGATTCTCCCATCCAATTTACGTCCAGTAAACAGTAGTTCTTCTTCATGCATATGTGAATTGTGAAATGACAAGAACACAACTATTACGTCTTGGTTTTGCAACCCAAAACAGCTCCTTACAAATAACTGACCTTTTTTAAGAGTTGGCTATAACACAGTAGAAAATTTAACACACCTACAATAGAACACTAGTATTCACCGCAAAACAAATGTAATTTAACACCCGTTGGCCTTAGTCAGCGCTAAAACTCGACATTTCTAACCCAACGGTTTCATAAATAATTAGTAACATCTTGTTGACCAGATATCTGATAATTTTAAATACTTTACGGTACAATGCAACACACCATAATAGGTACTAGATATCTTGCAACTGCCAGGGGTATGTCTAAATATTAGTGGATTTAGTGATCACCAACAGTTATTCAGAGGTACCTCCACTAAGAATTGCACAAATTCCTGTGTAAGCAAAGAGATAAACCACTTCATTTCTCACTCTTAAACAAATCACCTACAAGCAGTGGCCCTTAAGAAATAGATACATACTCAAAATCTTCCGCTCAATAACGTATGAGTATTCAGCTTATAAGTTTGGTAAATCTCAATCATGCGGTAGCTAATGTCCACATAACTGGGAACAAACTGGCATTATCCCAAGCCAAGAATAACTTTCGAGACATATATTAAAGTTGAATTACCTGCCGAACTACTCGTGTCATACAAGTTACTACTCAAATTGAGTAACTTGCTGTCAGCTGCCAACGGCATTTAAGAATACTCTTTGTTGACACTCATCATCCTTATTGTTTATTATATTCGTCATGTCTTGGTAATTATCATAACCATCATGTTAAACTGATCAACATGAGTCAAATAGCATCGCCGATAAGTGCATGCAAATATCGAACACCGACAACAGTCAGAGGTTGTATTAGGTGATCTCAGTCACCAGAAACATGAAGTGTGTGCTTTATGCAGCAAGAATGTCGTGCATTTAGTTTAAAGAAGAGGAGTTAAGCGAAGTACATCCGAAAGCAGGTTAGTTGAATTGCAATCGGAAATCTATACGATGAATATAACACTGACATCCGTTGAAGTAGTAGAAGTTACGAAGGACATATGTTCGAAGTGTCAGTGTATTACATAGACATGTCACTTTAAACAGCAAAATATTTCAGCCAATTTTCTGGTTATACTATTCAAGATGGAAGACCACTTCATTTTCACAAACTCCGTAACAGTATCCGCGCCTACCAGAGTCACAGCAAACCAGCAGCTGCAATCAATCAGGAAATCCCCCCCCCCCCAGAGCGATTGAGAATAGCTTTCCTCCTAGATTTAGGAGTCAACATATCAGTAGTAAGGTGATGGCTTGCGGTACTACTACTTCTGGCATCCAGTGATGTCTTTCCCAAATTAAGTGAACCTCAGCAACTGCCCTGGAATAAGGAGCAGAAAGTTATGACTTCCTATAGAGATCAATTCACATAATCATATGATTATGTGAATTGAGTATCATTTGATACTCAATGAGGATCTCGTTTACCTATCGGGTTTACATACTCACGGAAAACGTACCGCAGACAAATTTCACTTTAACTTACTTCAAGCTTCTGTATTAATAGTGGGCCGCAGTTCTCGTCATCAACTTGATCGTCTACAGCAACGTTAGATTCTTGAACCGCCATAACAAATCCAATTGAGCGCGTAATCGGAAAGTAGTTTGGTGTGATGCAACCAAATAACTAAATGCTTGATATTCATTCTGTAAGGGCCATTAAATTTGTGTTCTTATTAAAATTATATCTAGATGTAAGCTATTATCGCTGGTTTTAAAAGTATCTCGTTGGAGCCTGTTGTGCGTTAGTAAACTTCGTACTATCCGTGAACGTCTAGTTCATGAACAGAAATGCGAAATAATTCAGTGGGTCCGGGTTAAAATGGAAAGTTTCGTCCCAATATTTCCCGTGTGTGAGGGCAACGAACCACTAAGACATTCAAATACAAGTCAGAAAAACGAGTCAATGGGGTAGTGGCCATGAAACCTACCGCGCGAACTTTGAAAAGGGAGTGAATTTTACACGCTCTTGTTTAGTTTTGGCTTTTGTTGTGTTATACGCTCCAAAAGTCCACAGATTAACTTTAAATCGGTTTATTCTGATCAAAGTTAGTTTACTTTTCAGATCTGAGTCTATTTAAATTATAGGAGATTGTTTTTCTTATAACATAATAGTTATATATATATATTTTTGTGCACTCATTGATTTTTATCGCTGACTTATAAAGGTCTATATACATCTAAGTTATATTTAATTTCTTCGCCAGTCTGTTCTAGACAGTATGCCCATAAAAAAAACCGCTGTGGAAGGGTTATGCGCCAATTCCCAGTGGATGAGGGAATGCAGTGTGATAACTGCAAGAGATGGTTTCACAGTATGTGCACAAACCTAACTCCTGCAGCATAAAAACGCTGCTGTAAACCTGTAGAAAACTGGTTGTGCAATGACTGTTGTACTACTACCAAACTCCGTATTACAGAAGCCATTGCCACTCTTAGCGGGGCTTTGAAGCTCATGGACTGTAAGGGTCTTCCATCACAGGAGAAGACTAACTGCTTCTCAGACACCGAAGATGCGACTAGCGTCATTGACAGAACAGTACATGTTCCTAATGAGTCTTTGTCAATGACTGAGTGCCCTTCAGCACAGAAGAGCACTCACCACATTCCAGTCACCCAGGCTGCCCCCACGATACTGGATAAGCCCTCCAGTGACAGTAACGGAAAGACTGCCACAAAGAAGAGGCGTACCAGGGATCGTAAACCCACAACTCAAGTCACCCAGGTACTAGTGGATCAAGCCTCGTCCACACCGGTGAGTAGCAGGCAGATAAATCCCGCTACGACTAGTGAAGAGAACGCCAATGAATGGCGTAACGTAGTCTCTCGCAAAAAGCGAGATAAGGACAATACATTGGCCACACTGCCCACGAAGGACAAGAAGACATTCACGCCGCAGAGCAAGAAAACCACGGCAAGCAAACCTGATCTCTCTGACAGGTCGCTCATTCTCCACAAAGTGGAAGAGTCATTGGCCCCCGAACCCAAGACTAGATTTGAGCATGACCTTAACTTGGTTAAGCCCCTTTTAGACAAGCTACTGCCACAAACAGTATCAGGCATCACTATACACAGTGTATATAGAATAGGCCAAAAGCCTGACCCTACAGTAAGTCAGCCTGTACGTCTCCTCAAAGTCGTACTAAACTCTAAAGAAGAGAGGGATGCTATTCTAAGCAACTCTCATATACTTAAAGGATCAGGCATATATGTCCGCTCCGACTTAAGCCTGGCAGACCGTATCAAAAGACAGTCTGCGGCCCTAGAATTAAGCGAACGACGCCGAAACGGCGAAAAGAACCTTAAGATTAAGGGTTTTCGGGTTGTTCAAGTTCGCAGTTTAGTGATCCCGAAACCTCTGTGGGTAGGCCGGGGAAGCACCAAACTGGATTAACAGTTTGCTACACAAACGCCCGCAGCCTGTTAAATAAACGGACTGAGCTGGTTAACATGATAGACTCCGGAAACCCAGATGTAATTATTATCACAGAGACATGGCTCACACCCGATGTCACTGACAGCGAAGTTAACCTGCCAAACTTCGAAGTGCATAGGGTAGACCGAATAAACCGCAAAGGAGGTGGCGTAGTCATTTACCTCAAGAAATGCTTAACCGTGCGTAGTATCGAAGCACTCGCTCACGAAAGTGAGTCGTGCGAACTTCTACGCTGCAGACTTAAATTCATAGGCCAAGACATTGACCTCATTGCTATGTACCGCAGTCCTAACTGCAGTGCAGATGACTTCCTGATAGAGAAGCTAGGCTCCTGGACCTCGAAATGTCGAAGTCTCGTAGTTGGCGACTTCAATGCCCCAACAGTTGACTGGACGAGCCTAACAACTCCATCCTCAGTCAACTCCTTTGATTATAAACTGCTGGGATCTAGTATATCGTTAGCTCTAGTCCAACATATCATCAAGCCCACGCGCTATGACTCACAGCACTCCTCCTCAACTCTGGACCTAGTGTTCTCCCATGGTGAGGATGTAGATCTCATACAACATCTTCCTCCTTTAGGAAGAAGTGACCATGCTGTGCTCACTTTCAAGTTCACAGCAACGGCAGCAAGGGCCAAAACCCCATCTCGACCAAACGTTTGGAAAGCTGATATAAATGCAATCGTCTCAGTAGCCAACTCAGTAAACTGGTACATCAACCCAGAGTCTCAAGTAGAAGCCGCATGGAACCAATTTAAACAACTTTACGCCCAAGTAACTGAACCCTTCATCCCTTGGTCTGTCCCAAAGGGTCGGAAACACTGCCCTCCTTGGATAAACCGAGAGATTCGTAAGTTACTTAGACGTAAACACAAATGTTGGAACTTGTTTGCCACACTTGAGACTTCTGAGACCAGGCAATTATATAACACTGCTAGAAGTAAAGCTATTGCAGAAATCCGCAAATCAAGGATGAAATTCGAAGCACACCTGGCTCAAAATGCAAAGGCACAACCTAAGAAAATTTTCTCGTACATGAACTTCAGGAATAAAACATCCAATGGTGTCCCAAACCTGACTGTTGACAATGATACAATCGAAGAAGATCAAGAAAAAGTAGAAGCAATGGCAAACTACTTCTCCCAAGTCTTCACTCAGGAGTCGTCACTGCCTACCGGATCAGCTCTGGCTGCATCAGAAGAACATGGGATAGATTCCGTTGACATCGACCAAGGCGTCGTGCTCAACTGCCTAATGAGACTATATGCAGGGAAATCAATGGGTCCTGATAATCTTCACCCAAGGCTTCTCAAGGAGTTATCAGCACACATAGCCGGCCCTTTGACTACGATCTTCAAGCTTTCTCTCCAAAATGGAGTGTTACCGCGTGACTGGAAAGACGCCATAGTAACCCCCATCCACAAAGGAGGATCAAGGCAAAGCCCTTCAAATTACAGGCCTATCAGTCTCACCAGCACTTTAATAAAGACACTGGAGAGAATCATCAAGAAAAGCATAATGGCATATCTACAAAATAGAAGCTTATTATCAAGAGCACAGCATGGCTTCCGAAGGATCCTCTCATGCCTGTCAAATCTTCTCACTGCAAGAGAAAGCTGGGTTAAACCCAGGGACAACAGAAGACCTGTTGACGTCATCTTCATAGACTTCAGCAAAGCCTTTGATAAAGTACCTCACAAAAGACTACTCATGAAGTTGGAAAGTCTTGGTATCAAAGGCAGCTTACTAAACTGGCTCAGGGAATTCCTTATAGATAGGAGGCAGAGGGTTAGGATCAACTCGAAACTCTCCTCTTGGACAGCAGTACGCAGCGGAGTGCCACAAGGCACGGTACTTGGACCTCTCCTATTTATTTTGTATAACAATGAGTTATTTCTGCTCACCGATTCCCCTATGGTCCTTTTTTTTTTTTTTTTAAAAATTTGGAGAGAGCTGAAGGGCAACAGTGACACGTCCACGTTGCAAGAGGACCTCAACAAATTGTCAGAGTGGTCCATAGAATGGATGCTCCCGATAAACGTGACAAAATGTGCAACCATGCGCATTGGACAAGCAAGCACGAGCTCTTATGAACTATAGGGAATTACACTTCCATCAGTTCAGACTTACTTTGACTTAGGTGTCATAGTTAGCCACGACTTAAAAACTACAGCACACTGTCGCGCGGTGGCTGCACGTAGTTTCAGGTCATTGTGGGCAATTCGTAGAGCCTTCACTAGAATCACCAGAGATATGTTCACCTCCTTATATACATCTCTGGTGAGGTCAAGACTGGAAAACTGCATCCAGGCCGCCAACCCTTGTCTAAAAGGGGACTCACTTATCCTAGAAAGGGTTCAAAGGAAAGCAACACGTATGATTCATGGCATGACTAACTTATCATACGAGGAAAGACTAGACAGTTTAAATCTCTTCTCCTTGTCATACCGTAGGCAGAGAGGAGATTTAATCACAATGTTTAAAATTTTAAATAATGACTACGGACCTGACCTATTTTCTCTTTTCCTTCCCACCAGGTCGGAACACCTTAGAGGACATAGCAGGAGAGTTCAAAAGCCAAGAAGAAATCATATTGCTGTTGAGTACTGGTTCTCACACCGAGTCATATACTCCTGGAACCGACTCCCAGAAGAAGTGGTGTCTGCAACCTCAGTTGATTCGTTCAAGAAGGGTTTGGACAACCACAGAATTTTACTAGAAAAGGATTAACATGGGCTCCAAGCCTTCTATCCTCAACCAATAAATCTGAATCTGAATCTGAAATCTAATCATTCTAATGCTTCGATAACAGATGGACATTATATCTATCCATGACACCTCATCACTTGTTGTAGTTATCCTTCGTTCTACATACAGAATTAATACATTATCGATTTCGAATCTACCAGAGGTAAACTGCTGAATTATCTAACTAATGTCCGCAATACTTTCGTATCATCTCCTTGGCAGTCATAACGATATTATAATCTGTTATATCAACAGCAGGTAGAATAGGGGAACATTCCACTCTAAATTATATGGAGATTTAAAGTCTTATGCCGAGCATAAAGAATAAATGGAAATATATTATTACATTCAGAGATGTCGGGTATTGGAATATTGCGGTGGCTGCAAGTGTTGCGCTACTTTTAGACGTGTTTTGAACTGAGCGAGATATCTTGCATTTATGAAGTAGGTATTTTTTTCAACATCTTTTGTCCAGAAATTTTAATTGTTAACCTTCCTCAAAATAAGATTTGGGGGAAACTTGGCCTCAACTCAGTGTAAAAGTTTTGGGGAAACTCAGAAAAAGCACCCGTGAATCCCCGCAAGTGTCTCTAAAGTCCTAAATTCGCCCTAGAATTTATCAAATGCTTCTCCTTGATTGTTTGTTAGTGTTACACATTGGATATATACCCAGCGGTTTCTGCCCTAAAAGATAAAATTGTCTGCAGACCGCTTTACCCATTTTTGAACGAAAGCCTGCTCGCCCTTTTACCCACATCCCAGGTCAGAAAAAAATTCTCTCACTGGGTGGGTTCTAAATACGAAAAAAATTTATTTGGATCACGCATTGTTAGTTATCTTAGTAGTAGTATATAATTAATATCCTTAGTTGTTGTCAGGCCGTTCTCGAAAAGTGATTTGATGCGTTTCGTTAAAATCAGTTCATAGTGTTCTTGCTACCGTCGTCTTAAATTTTTATATTCTGCATGGTTGTTGGCGTGATTTCATGAGTGCACGTGTAGATTGATGTGGGTTTCCTCAGCTGACACTCTACCTCGCTAAACCAGTAATAAAGCTGGCAAAGAGGAAAGGTTGGGCATGAGGCTAGCAACCCCATCCTGTAAAAATAAACACTGCTACAGAAACTTCGAGCCTCTAGCTTGAAGCTCTATGTTCCACTGGGAACGTGAAAGAATAAATAATATAAATACTGTAAACATCATTTAGTATTTCTTCATTGTCCTTCATTCTCAAAAATTATTTACGTATTGCTTCAAGCTTGGGCGAAGCTATTAAACATTTCGCTTTTTGTATTAATGTACTCATATGTTCTCTGCATACTTGGAAAGTCTGCGCATTATTGCACGTAGCATACTTCAGTAACTAACTTTCAACCTCAGTGTCATATTTCATACCTCTCTATAAGGGTTTAAAATTATTGTATCTTGACACTTGATATCTACTGGTGATTTTGTAAAATTCTAATGTACTTTTAATAGATAACTGGCAATCCTGAGTATTAATATATGTGTAAAACTTGGGCACTGTGTTAGTAAGTAATTCCATATTAGTTTATTTATTAGCTGCATCACACAGTGAAAGAGTATTATTTACTGAGTTTCAAAGTCGTGTGATTATAATTAATATGATTATGACCAATACATTTTGTTCGAAATGTCATCCAGTAAATAATACTGTTTCACTTTGTGATACAGCTAATAAACAAACTAGTATGGAATCCTGAGTAGCTATAATGCAGTGAGAGACCCTGTTAAAGTATCTGAATTCGCAATTCTTTAATAGTCTGTGTGATATTAGTGATTAATTTTCCCTGAAAAATGCATTTCAGAAGTGCGTATTTCAAACAAACTCTAGATAGACGCGATACTATAGAAAAATTTAAGCGTAGTTATTTAGTCCTAATGGTAATTCATGTTCATTAAAAAACCAACGCAGACATTGTAATCAATATAAAGAAGATTCTTTTTATACTGCTATCCTATTGATAGGTGAATAAATGATAGTTTTCTTATTTCACTGACAGCTAATTCAGACTTTTACATTTTCTTACATTCCTACAGGCAATCTTATCATCTTTCGCAAAACAGTTTTTCTGAGCTTCACCTAAGGTCTTCAACAATTCAGGTAGAATTACTCATAAGTCACTTGATGAGTTATTTTTAATTCTTACATTGAGTAAGCTTTGGGTTATTTCTCATGCTTGGCCATTGAAGCTCATTTTTAAGATATCCACGGCTGTTAATTTCGTAAAGCGATGCATGTTATGTTGCCAAATGAAGAAAGAAAAAGTTTTCCAAGGCTATGTAGAATAGGTTAGAGAGTTATTTCACCTTTATTTTATTTGCATTTAAAGGTGAACAGTTATTGTGTGTTATAACAGAACTTCAAAGATTAGCAGCTATGTTAAGACTGACAGTCGTTTGCCAACCATCTCATTCTAATCTGTTTCGCCTCACTCTGATACATAAAACAATCATGAAATGATTGTGCAATGCTATGAGATTTAAATAAGTTGTCACTTCATATGACGAGTTCTCATACTATTTATTCGGTTAAAGGTCCCTATAGACCACCTTTATATTGAATTAAAACACCACAATCATTATTGTCACTATTATAATTCGTTCCCTGCTTTCCTATTGGAACACAAAATTTCGGCAGCATATCGCTAGTACAGTTGCTTCTCTAATATCGCTTCCAACTACTTTCTGGTGACCGCACTGGAGTTTTCGTAACTTCGTCCTTCATTTTCTAAGTGTTGAACTTGAATTATGGTATATCTTCTTATTAGCTGAGGTCTTTCAACTCGATCTTGAAAATTTCTTACACTAAATCGGGGTCTGAGGTTGTATGTGCTCCTCCTATCGGTCTTGTGTCCACTCGGGGTCCGTCTCCACCTTCATGACACAGATGAAATATATGTGAATTTTCGTCTGTCCATCTGATGAAATCCACCCTCGCCTTCTAGATATCACACGCATACGGCTCCCAGTTACCAAATCATCAACGCGCAGAATCCCGCTCTCACGTATTCCTAGCACTTCTATGCCATGTCTCATTCGTTCTGCAATCTGAATAGCTTTGCTAGCCCCAGACATTGTGAATACATTCCATGTCTTTACTCTTACTTTTGCTTTCATCAGAAGATACATTGGCTGTCATCAGCCGGCATCATCTGTCGAAAAATTGAGGAGTCTTTCATATTCCAGTGAAGAATGTTCTTTTTTTTCTTCGCTTTATAGTTTCAGTAGACATAGGGTTGTGTACCTCCTTACCTTCCCATTTTTCCGAACTTAATACCGGTAAGTTAAATACGAAAGGTTTTATGACTTAACAGGTGATATATTTTATCATGCCTATGACAGAAGTATCTTTAATTTTATTTACAGATTCACTTCACCTCGTGACTCTTAACTGGTGATGTCCGATAAAAAAGATTTCCAACAACATTTCCAACCGGAAAGGTTGAAGTTAATTCACTCAGCATCATACCTCATATTTCTTTTGTATAATTTGTACTTAATTCTGTCATATAGCCGTTGTTGCAAATGCTAATTTAAATTTAAAGCAATAAGAATTCATTTATTTTAGATATCATGGTTCGTGCAATGAAATCCTGTGCTCCTGGTTTCTCTGCCCATCGCTTTTCTAAGAAATGTATCCGTACTGAGGATGGATCAATGTTGGTTGTGAGCAAGAGGATGAAGAATATGTTGAAACAAGAGGTCAAGATGAATGCAGCTGCCGATATGCTGGTTGATGATTCCAATTTGGAAATGAAGGTTAGTGTATCAGAAAGATGAAAGGCTAGTTTAACATAGTGAACAACATTAAGGTCAAGCGTAATGTTAGGTTAGGGGGGTAGGGTACGTCAGTCAATGAGGTTATGAAGATGAGTTGACTGAGATGGCTAAAACACATGTTGTATATGCCGAAGCGTCGCCTTCCTCTACGGGCAATGCTAGCCGACATGGGATTAAGTTGGCATCAATTCATGAGATTTTTAACAGTTGGTTTGTGCCATTCAGGTTTCCTAGTTGAGATCCTCAGGATTCTAAGAACCAATGGTTGGAGGTTCTTCAAGATATAGCTCAAAATTGTTGTCAATGGCGCAGATGGATTCACTCTTTGTAATCTCCCATATCTGTTTATTCCTGTCTTCCCATATTTTTATTACGCCTATTATATTACTTTTGAATATTTTTAGCCTTTTTGATCTACCGTTGTGTGCGCATATGGAGTGTGGCAATTTAAACTGCTGCACTTCTTAGTGAAGTTCTATGTTGAAACTCAGTCAGAAAGACTGGTTTAGCTATGTAACTTTGTTATAAAGTCAGGCAATATAAATCAGTTTAAAAGATTTTGACATCTGATTGTACATTAAAGATTTGCATGCTATACTCAACAGGTTATGAATATTAATTAGGCAAGAACGTGAAAATATTTGGCTTGCTGACTGTCACTTATACCTGCATTGTTGTGTTTTTGTATGGATGTTTAAACTAGAATTGTTAAGACTATTTCGTAATAAGTAAGCTTGTGTTAGTCTGTTTTTACATATCATGACAAGTTACTTATGCTTGAGAAGTGTTTTAATAATTTATCCAGTCAAACGCCAGCTGATAGACCATGTATTGGAATGCTTCTTTACAGGATTTAGCTATATATATATATATATATATAACTCCCCACGCAATAGGCCTACTAATTATATGTATATCTCACATGCATATGGTAGTTAAGTCACATTTAGTTCTTATAGCAAACTGATGATGCCACTGAAAATGAATCTTTGGCTTAGTGGGGTTTTTCACCTAGACTACAGTAAATGAGGAGCAAATTCTAAACTGTCTCAAATTTCAGCAACAGCCATGTATGTTAGTTCCAAGTTATAAATCACTGTATTACCCTTCATGCAGTCTCGTACTTGTATGCATTGTCTGCTTCCATGTTTCATGTCACCCCAGGTTGCTAATATTTTATTCCTTTACCCTACTGGTATAAAATAGGGTATCAAACTTCAGCTTCCATTGATAGTTATGTTTATTTTTTAAGGGATAAGATAGCTAAACTCGCGTCCAACCTTCCTATCAGCGAGCTTACTACCACCTATGCGATGTTTAGGAGTGCTTCGTCCGGAGCCTGAACCCTGGACTAAGTGGTTGGTGAGTATTCTGTCAGTAAACAGCCGATCCCAGGTGTCTAAGTATACTTGTAACGACAAAAGACAAGGGCCAGGCAACAGATCATTTATTAAGGAAATCAACGCATATTTATATATGTTTTCATGTACATTACTATGGATATTTAAGTAAACAAACACAGTCTTCCGATTGGTTGTTTCTCACGTAAAGTTAATCTTTCATCTATTTGTGACTGTTTCTTGAATGTCAAATCCTCTATATGTTAACTGCATACGCCTACGCAAAGTGTGCTGTGGTCGGTTTTGAATCAATCTTTGTTCACATTTTCTCACGACAAATCTTGGGAACGTAAATATTGACGTAAATTACTGTCTACAAATTTGGCTAGTAGACAGCTCTCACCACAATACTTCTTCATATTTTACTAACTTTCATCAAAATAGGTAGGTTAAAATCCTTGCTCCATTATTCCAAAAAAATTATAATCATCTGAGATTTTACTGTTATACACCAGCATAGGGTCAATTGATGGTAGTCAATGCATCATATTGTCATTATCATAGTCATCACCTAACTTGTGGGCCTTTAGAAAATCTGTTGCAACTGACTTTTCGAAAACTGTGCAACCCCTTCGCTATCGAAAGAAATGTCTATGTACCACTTGTCAGTTTGGAGGCTTTTGTTTAGAAATTATCTGTGAAGTGTGTGTATGTGTGTGTGATGAATTTTCTTCAATTTGTGAACTATTTGTTGTATGAAATGTCAAAAAAGAGTATTGTATAGGCTTCCCGACTGAAATCTATGAAACCTTTGAGTTTGATTAACAAAGATTTGAGATATTATAAACCAGAATAGATTCCAACGACTTCTTTCAATCAGTTTCTTTCTTTACTTTCACGCTTTTATTTTCTCATTACTTTCTAGACTCCCAATATATCCTTTGAAGAAACTTTAGACGAATCAAGTGGAACGACTCAAATGAACAATAAGTTGATTAGCGGTTCCTTACGTACACCAAAAGATGATTCAATTCATCGTACAATGAAAAAAATTCCGCAAAGGAAACGACACAAGTTGAGGTTACAGACACATTTCAATCGTCATACAAATTTGAAATCAGCCTTAAAGTCCATGGTAGAAAATGAAAAAACAGACAAACAATTGGATGTACAGTTACCTGTTGGTGGTCAGTCATTTTTTACAAAGCCAAGTGAGGCGGCTGATTCAAAAACAAAATCAAATAACCCGCGTAAAGTTGGAAATAGCAGTGTTAAAGAAAAGAGACCACTGGCGTGAGTACTGCATTTAAAAACATGATATATATTGCTTTTTAGGGATTAAATTTGCACTTCAGTGGCATTCATTGAGAAATATTAAGTTAAATTATGAGCTAACATTGATTAAAGAAAAATTGGAAACGACTTAGTGCCGGTCATCTGTTATGTCTTAGTTTGGGACTCTTCAGTAGTATGCATCCACAACCCCACCGGCTACCGAATCCAGGGTCCTTTTGTTACGGGATGAACACGTTAACCACTCAGCCACTAGGACAGAATCCGACGATGCATGCATTTTGTCTTATACTAAAATTCCGTTTTTTGTTAGTCAGAATGATCGGTCATAAGTCATTTAGATTGTGGTTGTCGTATCATCTAGTAAACAATAAAATCGTTTATTGTCTGGCTTTACTTGCTTTAGTGTGTTGATTTATTTTGATCATACATTAGTTACTGATAAATGAGTATGCATTATGTGACCGTTTGGCGGCATCAAGTACCAGATGCTAGCGCTGAACTCGAATAGGAAATTACGATTTGAGCGTCCAAGTATTCGATGGAGGAGATCGTGTGAGGAGAAGATGAAAGCTTATGATCGGTCACGGAGCCAGTTAGAAAAGATTGTAGAAAACAGGATGAAATAAGGGTGTGCTGTTGAAGCCCTATGTTCCATTCAGAACCCAAAGGAATAATAATATAATGTGATAGTTTCATTCTGTCCACAAAATGTAGTAAGAAAATGATTAAATTCGACCAGTAGTTAGTAGTGAATATTTTGTGTGGAGGTCTGGTTAATTGGCTTAGGTATTTGATTTTCAATCACTGAATCACAAGTTTGATCACCCGACTCCATCAACTGAAGTTTAGGCAGTTAGGTAGTACTATTATCCATCTTCACGTTACAAGTATGAATTACTATCAATTAGATGTAAACACAAATAGTTCTTGAATAACAGTTGTTAAACAGGCGCGTATTCATATCGTCATCAAATGAATATGCCTTTTCCTCTCGTTGTAGAAGAACATTAGTGTGATTATGGTGGCCATAACTTCACCAATTATTTTCAAGTGTTGGTGTACAAGGATTTGACTGATTTTAACTTTGACCATGAAATGACTTCGGTTAGGGAACCACTGCAAACCAGAGTCAGTGAGGTCGCCTTAGAACCAGCAGCTCTTGCATTCGATCCCCGCTGAGGCGGTATGTATTTACTGTTGAAGAGTCTCAAACTAGCACGAAACAGCTGTCCAGTACCTCTTGGTGGTTTTTAATGGTTCTATAATTGGAAAATATTCATGACCAAAATTTATCCCTTAACTTTTGTATTACTATTCTCTTTGGCTCTGAGTGGGACATAGGGCTTCTCCGGTACATCTACATGACATCCTGTTTTCTACAGCCCTGTTTAGATGGCTTCACGATTATCCATAAGCTCGCATATCATCTTCATATATTCTCCTCCATGTCACCCTTGGACTCACGCCCAACTTGTCCTTTCCCATTCAGGTTCCACTCGAGGGTGGGCTTGACTATTTATGTTGCCCAACTGTCCCTTCAGCCTGTGTCCTATCCATCTCCATTTTCTTCGGAATATGTGTAGGGCTAAGGGTTCTTGGTTGGTTCGTTCCCACGGTTCCTTGGTACAAATCTTTTCTGGTCACCTGATTTTCAGGATGGAGCCAGAAACAGCAGCTGTTGATGGTGTCTGAAGCGTATTGAAAATGTCTTTAGTGACATGCCAAGTCTCTGAAGCATATAGAATCACTGAATGGCTTGAAATTAGTGTTGCAAATCCGAAACTTCTAGTTTATCGAAATACACACCAGACAAAAAATGACTGACAATATGATAATCGTATAATGGTGTTATATAGAAATATATTAGGATATAATACCTATGTTCTAAAATGGAAACAGAAGTTTTCTAGTAATGTGTTGTACCTCTTTTGCTTACATAATTGTATTCACTTATCATATTGCGGAATAGTTACTTGTTTTTTGGTCTCTGTGGTATGTCTTCAATGAAGAAAATTTATGCTTTCTGTTGTCCGTCTTATTTTGCTTTTCAGGATAAATCTCCTGAATTCTTTTCGAAGTATACTGCAAGAATTCTAATGATTTCCTCTCTTGTTTCCTCGTCTTCACAAATGGGTGGATAAGAGAGAGGGAGAAAGAGTAATTCATTCGTCATCGCCAAAGAATTCAGTATTGATCTTATGATACTGTTTCTCGTATGCAAATCCTAACTGATATCCTTATGTACATATAAATATATTATTTTTAGAAATAAATTTATATTGATTAACTAGTTTAATGCTCACAGTTGTATTTTAACTGACTGAGACAAAAGAACTGAAACAACGTATCTGACTGACGAACTGGCTGAGTTCCAGTGTAGAACTTCCCACAGAAGTGCACCAGGTCAAGTTATCACACTCCATGTTGCACACACTGATTAGGGAAAGGAAGGAAAAAGACTTTTAAGAGAAACATAATAAGCAGAAATTTGAAGGGGGGTTGAAGAATAGTAACATGGAAAACATGAGGGTTTAATGGATATGGGAGGTCAAGAAGAGTGAATGCACTTGTGCCATTCTGAAGCATATCACCAATGGTCTCAATCCACCAACTGTTAGCGTCTCAAGGGTCCAAACTAGGCAGTCTACATCTCCTTCCCTACCTAGTTGGGTTTCGTTTTAGCCAGACCTCACTCTCTTCCAACTTAATCCTATGTCAGTTAACATTTCCCGACATACCTAACACAAGTCCTAACCATTTCAATCGCTGTAACTTCAAAACCTCATAGATTGGCTTGCCGTGCTTAGGCAACCTCTATATTACTAACAAGCAAGGTGTTTCCTTAATCATCTTGGTCTAAGCAAAATCAGCTAGAATTGTTGCATGAAGCATGGGCATTTTATTTCTTGGCTTCTCTTCATCAGTAGATAACCGAAAATATGTACATAAGATTAATGATACGTTAAAATACAATCTTCGCATTCTACTGAGCAGAAACTAAGTATAAGAATACAGATTAAGAGCACAATCTGATAGCATAGATATGACAAATGATACAAAAAGAAATTAGTTATTTGAAATAAGTTTGGAAAAACGTTCGAGAATTTTTGGTGAGTGGCTTCTAATAAAACACTCTTCACAGCAGTATACAAGAAGAAAACTAAATGACGACACATAAAAAAGCATTCAGAAATCAACTCAGTGAGCTAAATAAGAATTATAACAATAATAGTACAAATGGGAAACAAGATGCGTGATTAACGTTGCAAGTTGAACAATTGTTAGTAAGGCAGGTTGAATTAGATGACGGTCTCCTTTTGTATACATAGGTTGGAATGAACTCGCTTAATGGTTGTAGATTCATCAAAGAGAAAGTGATTTCGGATTTTTTCGCTCAATTCTATTGAGCTAATGAAGTCCCAAGAATCTTTGAGTCTCACTCTTTCGAGAATTTGTCTGGAAAAACAAATCGATGCCCATCCTGCAATATACTTGCTCCAGCACCTACATGTGAATTCGTAAACACAGTTGATGGATACCTCTCCAGTTACCATTGAAAAAGAGGTTACCGGATGAGTTCTAGCTACAGTAACTCAGTATTTTGTTCGTTCGTTGTGAAAGTAAACTGGATCGCATTCATCATATTTCATTCAGTTGATGGCCCGTAGTGTATAGGCGGTACTGAATAGTGACGCACATTGAATCTGTTAGTCATAGAAGTATGTGAGAAGTCGTATAGTTGCATTCATCAGACAAACATGTAATGTGAGCTTAAAAATGATGAATATTTACTGTCATAATAACAGTAAAGTGTACAACGAAAGAATTGAACGAAGAAATGTTTACTTTTCAATTAAATTCTCGTCTACGGTTCTACTCTAACAGTTTTAATACAATACAAAAATTAACCAATCTAGTGGTGAAAAGATTGTTAACAATATTTTTTTCAAAGTTTCAATTGTTTTTAACGATTTTGAACTTAAGGAAGCTATGCTGATCAAAGCATTACATTGCATCAACGAACTCAGATGATTAAGTGATCATTTTCTTCCCGCTCAGAAATGGAGATGGATTGGCCATACTCTGAGGAAACCATCAAGTGACATCACTAGACAAGCCCTCGAGTGAAACCCGAAAGGGAAGCGGCGAGTTGGTCGCCCAAGGGTGACTTGGAGGAGGTCATGTGAAGAGGAGATGAAAACGTGTGGGCAGACTTGGAGCCAGGTGAAGACTCTAGCAGAGAACCGAACGCAATGGAGACTCACGGCTGAAGCCCTATGTTCCTCTAGGAATTAAGGGAAACAATAATAATTTCTTCCCGCTCGGAAACACTAATGCCAAATAAAGGTGTTTTCACGTGGAGATCTAGCGCACCTCCATTTCGTTAGCCAAAAAGATAAATCAGTCATTCATTCACACATGTTAGCTCAGTAAAAACCCTCCCTGAATGAAATGAAACAAATCTTTACTATTCAGTCACATGATAGCCGCGGAAATCTCCAAATCTTTAGTAGTGGAGTTAAAACTTAATACATAATTGGTTAGTAACCTGGAGACTGCTGGTTTAAAAAGTGTGCTACAACTGAAATCCTCATTTAGCTTTCAGCTATCATTTGCTTCAAAAGTAGACAAACTGTTCCTACTTTCCACTCATTATTTGTCTCTGTATATCGTGTTCACTCGTAGCTGAGTGGAGTAGGAGGAAGTTTCATCATTTACTCAGTGTAAAACTCTAAATAATAATAATTATTATTATTGTTCCCTTGGGTTCCTAGTGGAACATAGGGCTTCAACTGCACGTCTCCACTTGCTTCTGTCTTCTGCTGGACTTTTCACTTGCATCCATGTTAGTCCATACTGTTTCAACTCTTCTTCACACGATCTCCTCCATGTCACCCTTGGACGTTCCACTCGCTGCTTCCCTTTCGGGTTCCACTCGACGGCCTGACGCGTGATGTCACCCAGCGGCCTCCTCAGCGAGTGTCCAATCCATCTCCGCTTTCTCCTGCATATTTGTTGGGCGATTGGTTCTTGTTTTGTTTGTTCCCATAGTTTCTTGTTTGTGATTCTTTCCGGCCATCTGATCTTCAGTATAGAACGAAGACAGTTGTTGATAAAGGTCTGCAACAGGCTGTTGGAAATATTCTTTGTGACCCGCCAAGTTTCTGATCCGTATAGCAAAACTGACTTGACGTTTGTATTGAAAATCCGAATTTTGTTGTTGATGCTGAGTGACGAAGATTTCTAGATTGGTTTTAAGTTGATGAATGTGTTTCTCGCCTTCCCGATTCTGGATTTGACATCCTCGTCCGTTCCTCCTGTAGTTGAGACAATGCTCCCTAGATAAGTGAATGAAGTAACCTCTTTCAAATCCCTCCTGTTGATGGTGATTGTCGCTGGATGTTGCTGCTGTTGTTGTTGGTTGGTTGGTTATTTTCACAACCTCCGTCTTGTCTATGTTCACCTGGAGTCCTGTCTTTGCTGCTTCTTCGACCAGTTTGTCGGTTTTCGCTTGTAAGTCATCGATTTTGTGTGACATTAAACATAAATCATCCGCGAAATCCAGGTCTTCGAGATTCTTCGCGTCGGTCCAGGATATCCCTGTCTTCTCGTTTCCCACTGTCTGACGCATAATCCAGTCCACCACAATTAGGAATATCATTGGTGATAATAAGCACCCTTGTCTGACTCCTGTGTTTACTCCAAACGCCTCACTGAGTTTTCCGTTGTGGATCACTTGACATGTGCCGTTGTCGTACAGCTGTTGAATAAGGTTGATGAATATTTGGGGTACGCCATAGTACTCGAGTAGTTTCCAAATTACTTCGCGGTCAACGCTGTCGAAAGCCTTCACAAAGTCTATAAAGTTGAGGTAGAGGTTTGATTTCCATTCCATGCTTTGTTCGATGATGATGCGATGTGAAATTTAATGTAGTGGTCTTCTTTCGCAGTTGCGTTAAAAAAACCCACTGATTTTGTGTAGATAAACGCCAAGAATAAGTCATCAGTTATCAAACCATAGAAGTGATTCGCTTTATTTATAAGAATTTTATCATGAATACCATATATGCATATATGTTTCAAGCTAATTGTTGAGTACGCTGACATTCGAATTAAAAAAACATAATAGGATGACTGAAATTAAGTCACTGTGGAGTTTCGATGTACTAGGATAATACGTTGTTGATCATAATTTTTCAATTCAATTGCAATTATATGACTTCAGACCAGAAACAACTATCAAGAGGGGAATGACAGTTTGATCTTTGAGAATAAGATCTGTATTTTGGAATCGAACAAATATATGACAATGCCACATGTCAAGTGATTCACAACAGGAAATTCAGAGAAGTCATTGAATTGAATACAGGAGTAAGGTAAGGCTACTGCCTAATATCACCCATGATGATATTCCTTATTATGGTTGACTACATTATGTGCCACACTGTGCGCGGAGAGGAGCACGTTGAAATGACAAGAAGATCCTAACTTTGCGGACTACTAATGTCAAATAAATTCGCGAAAACAAACCATTTGGAATAAGTGGGAGGCAGCGAAGATAGAACTTCAAGTGAATATAGAAAACAGGAATTCATCATGAGCTAACATTGGTTAGAGAACCACTGGAAAACCTGGGAGTACTGGACAGCTATTTTGTCAGAATAGTTTGGGACTCTTCACCAGTACGCACCCACCAGGATTCGAACCCAGGACCGCCTGGTTACAAGACCGGCGAGCTCGTAGACCGTAGCGGTCGCACTATGTCGTGAATTGGCAGAAGTTAGAATTCATGGGCTGGCCACTGGACCGGGTCCCAGTGGCTTAATGGTCTACGAGCTCGCCTTGTAAACAGAAGGTCCTGGGTTCGAACCGCAGTGGGTGCGTACTCCTGAAGAGTCCCGAACTAGGACGAAACAGTTGTCCAGTACTCCCTGCAGGTGTTCCAATGGTTCTGTAACCAATGTCAGCTCATGATGAAATCCTGTAACCAATCAATCAAATCCCTACAAATCAATACTTGAATATGGAAAAGATAGAGGTGATGAAGATAACCAACAAGAAGCATAAATTACTGTCAGTGGGAGGAATTTGAAAGAGGTCCCCTCACTTATCTAGGCAGCATCGTTTCCAATAGAAGTGGTACCGACGGAAATGTTAAAAACAGGATGGGAAAGACAGGACAGACCTCCATCACTCTGAAATCAGTTTGGAAATCTTATGTACTCAGCATAAACAATAAAGTTTGTGTTTTCAACAGCAATGTCTAGTCATTTCCTCTACATGTGTCAGAAACTTCGTATATCACGAAAAGCACTACCAACAGGCCTCAGCTTTTATCCAGTAGCTGTCCTCGCTAGTTCCGTACTGAAGATTAAATGGTAGGCCAGAAAGGATAAGCAATAAAGAACTCTGGTAAAAAACCAACCAAGAACCTACCGCGCAAAAAATACGCCGAAAGAAATGGAGATGCATTGGACACACGCCGATGAAACCGTTGCGTGATATCAAACGCTAGGCCCTCGAATAGGAAATAACGAGTTGGACGTGAGTCCGAGGGTGACAAGGGGGTCACGTAAGGAAGAGATAAGAGCCTATGGACAATCATGGAGTCAGCTAAAGAGAACCGCATATAACTGGACAAAATGGAGATGTGCTGCTGAAGGCCTATGTTTTACTAGGAACCCAGGGGAATAATGGCAATGATTTTGGAATCAATTATTCTAAACCTGGATGTGTGTTTAGCCTACTAATCATCGAGTAAGAACAGGTGGATGTAATACGCCAACGTGACAAATAGCTTTGCTACCTGAACAAGTGCTTCCAGTTTAATAACTCATCTAAGATAATGTATATCTTATTCAAGTGTTGGTTTGTAGGGATTTGATTGGTTACAGGATTTTCATCATGAGCTGACATTAGTTAGAGAACCATTGGAAAACCTGGGAGTACTGGACAGCTGTTTCGTCCTAGTTCCGGACTCTTCAGGAGTACGCACCCACTGCGGTTCGAACCCAGGACCTTCTGTTTACAAGGCGAGCTCGTAGACCATTAAGCCACTGGGACCCGATCCAATGGCCAGCCCATGAATTCTAACTCCTGCCAATTCACGACATAGCGCGACCCCTAGCCAGTGTCTTCGGCGAGTATTTGTCCTCACGCCCGACCTGCTGCACCCTACTGGTCACGACTTCTCACTAGAACCCCAGGCAACTACCTACCTGAATAGGGCAAGTCACTAGTGAGCATCTCATTGATATTCAAGTGTTGGTTTGTAGGGATCTGATTGGTTACAGGATTTTCATCATGTATATCTATCGGCAAACCTGATCCTTTGAAGCTAAGTATGTCGGTCGTAACTAGTATTTGCTAGCCAGACTTATCATAGAACATTTACTCCGATGATTTTACAGAGTAGAAAAAACTTCTCTCTCCTGGAAAATCCTATCGATTCTAGACACCAAGGTGACTCACAAATCAATTTCAGAATTATCCACAGAGTGTGAGGGGATCTTACCAAAGACGTATAAATCAAACTTCTTCAAACCATTAAAAGTTACTCCAGTGCATATGTTAAATCTTTAACTCTGCATACAGTAGTTTTTCTAGTCACTGAGCATACAACTGACTTGATTTGTTTAAACGTTTGACGAGTAATTTTTAAAAAATTTTACTATTTCTTCGCCTTTCCCACTATAACATTTCTGCTCTTACCGTACCGATCCTAACTTGACTCTCTTTCAATTTCAGTTGAACGTGACTCAGTCCTGTCAACTACGTTACATCACTGAACATACCTATTCTACTTTACTTTCCACGTGAGAAAGGCTTTACCTACTTCACAGTTGTTATCTAAATCTTATAATTTTAATAACACATCTTCGGAAACATTCCTTTAGGTGCTACGCAAATGTACAGCCTGAGATTGACATCGCTGAAATGAGTAACTCTTTACTAATCGCCTCTTCTTTCATAAAATAATAATTGTGGATGGGCGTTTTTAGGTCGTGAAATTATTTACATCTATACATTATATGTAATCCTGATGACATCCAACTGGCGTTTAAGTGTGTTATCAACATAATGTCACAAGATTGCATCAATGTTCGTAATTATTCGTTACCTGGCCGCACTACAAGTCATTGTCAGCCCTTTTTGTAACCGACCAAGTGTTTTAATTTGTAATAAACAGACTTGATAGTTTCTATAATCACCCTACCATCGCTCACTTTTGTTGCACCTGTCAGAAGCTGGTATTAAACATGAGGCAAACAACCCCACACCGGAAAAACAACACCACTGGCTGCACCAAACAAAGAACTAGACACATGACAATAGTTACTAGCTAGTGTCCTATACAATACTACAAGGGGTCAGTCATGAGCCCAGTGGTATCGTCTCTCACTGCAACAGCGAGTGACTCGGATTCAAATCTCAGAATTCCTTCAGAGTTGTAGATACGCCCTGCTGACGAGTGCCGATAAACACGACACCTAGGTGCAAGGCTTCCTGCCTATTGCATTCAACCATCGGATACCAAAAATTCACAAAGCATCGATATGATGAGCCACCTAATATGCAGGACACATTGCAAACTTGACTGGCAGAATTCGGTCCGCACCAAAGGACTAGACACATGATACTACTAATTAACAAGTGTCCGATCAAAGTGATACTTAAGAGCTTGAAGTAGTATGTTTCGCCCGTAGCTAAAACGAATAAAAATAAAGACATCAAGTGTTTCAGTTAGATAATCTCGTTTGTCTTCGGAACCATTGTTCAAACAAAGAGTTCAAGTGTCAACTACACATAGTCAACACAACGACTTTCAGAACCCCCTGCTCCACATCCCGACTAGAAACAAAACAAAAATAAGCCAGTTTTCTATCTAAATTTACGTGTATATATACTGTATATCATATTGGTATGTAATAAGCACAAAACACGCATGTGTAATAATACAAACAACATCAATAAAAACAATACAGTAGAATTATAAACGTTATAACAAGTTAGTCTTTTAAGGGCAAAATATTTCACTAATAATTATTCATCTATTTATCATTATCTAAGAAATAAAAGTGTTTAAGAAAATCAAAAAACGAGAAACTATTTATGCGTTTTTGTTTTCGATAAACAGAAATCTGATCATTAACTTCTAATTTACTTTGTATGTATGTGCATGTGTGTGTGTGTTGAAAAAGGATTAAAACAACTACTCTACACAGGCACATCCTCACGCCACACATACACACACTCATTGTGATACGTGCATATGTCATCATAGGACCACATCACAGGCGATTGACTAGAGAGTCAGTTTTTACTACGAACTACAAGAGAAGTGAGTTTTTTAATCTTCATTGGTTATCTGTTATCAGGGGAATTTCTTTTGAGCACTTTATTTTTCAGCGCAAATTCAACTGACTACTCACTAACATAATAGTAGTTCAACAATATATATTGTCCTTTTCAAACCTTCTTCACCATGAAATGCAAAGATTAGAAGACTAAAAGTAAGTCAAAATAGCATTAGAATAAGTAAAATACCAAGAAAACAAACAAATACTACCAAAATTTCGTAATGGATATGGAAAGGAGAAAAACCAGAGATGTCAGGACTAAAAGGGAACAGAGAGTGATAAACAATTAGCCAAATTGTGTGTCATGGAACTGACTATAAAAACAATTTTAAGTAAAAAAGAAATTAAGAATGGAATTGCATTAACTGATGAAATCTAACATGACGAGAGGCTGTGAGGATAAGAAAATCAATAATTAATGCATAAAGTTTGTAATTCATATAAATGTAGCTTTATGGGGTTATGTATGCGTGTGCATGCGAGCATGTTTATACACAAATATACCTGTTATGTATTTACGTAGCACAGAAAAGTCTTCCACCTTTTTAATCGACCATTATTTCAAAGTTCAAATCATCTTTATTCGCATTCTTCACATTGTGTAGCATACACCTAACTAAAATGGCGACATGCCTTTTAGGATTTTTAAATTCCGCAGCGACTACTGGGGCAAGATAACCCGCTTGTCCTACAAAAGGGTAATACGCATTACTGAAGACACCGCTGAAAGAGGGAAGAAGGGAAAAGAAATGAGTGCTTGTTATTCTAGTGGACATATAAATGCATTAATTAATATTAAAGTAAACGAAAATCAACAGAAATCACTACACTCAAACAATTTTAATTTCCACTTCCGGTCACAAGGCATTCACACTTACAAAAATTAACCTCATTACCATACATTTTAAGTGGGAAAAGGGAACTAAATAGGGGAAGAAGAGACATTTATGTCGCTATATATATATATCCCTAACTATATGCGGAAATAAAATTGATTATTCTATTGTTCACCTTATATTACTAAACACTTACAAAATAATATTCCTAATAATAACACTAAAATAAATTGATTTAAATGGATCAAATACACATGAGTACAATAGGATTTTTTAAGGACAAAACAGTTTCAAATTAGATTGGAAAAATGACATCCTTCAGAGAAATATTAACAAACAAGGGGTACTGGACAGCTGTTTCCTCCTAGTTTGTGACTCTATAGTAATGCGCACCCTTTGTCTAACTGGAGTCGAACCCATGATACTCAGATTCCCAGGCAGATCCGTTGTCCATACAACCAGAAGGTTCCGTAATCAATTTCTGGTAAGGTCACAGGTGTGAACCGCTGAAATGTCAAAAAGTAAAAAGAACCAGCTGTCTTTCATTCCCTAATTGTGAATGGTTCTCTAACTGATTTCAGTAGATTATCCAACCTGAAATCAATCAAATCTCTGGGAACCAAGACTTGAACAAATCTGTTATTTTATAAGTATATTACAAATATTATACATGTATAATATTCTGAAGCCTGTGGAAGTATGTACAATGGACAACAAATTGAAATAATGTTATTTACTGGATGTCATTTTCAAAACAATTTTTGTATATTTGCATGTGTATTGAAACTCAACATCTTCGAGACTTGATTATATACATGGTATTACTTGGTAAACAGTAGCTAGCCGTGGAATTCGTCTTGTTCGTGACTCTTCAACCGAATATACCTATATCCCAGTGAATGATACCATTCTTACTGAGTTTCAAACTTCAATGCACTATCCATTAGACCATAATTTAATTTTCCACCGTCACTGGCTATATAATTAAGTACGGCAGTCTGCTTAAATCACTGGCTTACCAGGATTTTTACCCAGCAAAATGCTTAAACTCATCTACATTTCTTATAGTTTTATATCAAGTGATCACTACATGAACTCGCACGCATATTTAATTAGCTTTCAATAAAAATGCTGTGCAATTCTTGAAGGAAATGATGAAGAAGAAAATCTACTGATTTGGTTCTCTCTTCATAAGCAACAACACTACGTAACATGATATAATTCAGATTACTACTTGACATGTAAATCCTGTATGAAGAGGAAATATCTTTGAACTAAATACGCTAAAAATTTCTGTACTATGCGTTCACAAATTGTCTGAAATAAAGCTTTATTATTATTAAAAATTATATAATTAGTAGAACTTCGCATATAACTGAGTCATTTCCAGTGTTCACATTCTCCTTTGGTTCTACAAGTGGAGCATATGTAATGTGACTGCATGTGGTATGATAGCTAAGATTCTTTTCTATCAACAGTCAAAGACTTCATGATTTGGTGACACGTTTCAATTTGACCAACGCTAACTCTTTTCATCAACCTAATCCTAATTAATCCATTGTAGGTGATTGATTCTTTTCATTTATGAAAATCAGGTAAATACAAAGACTTTTTAGTTTGCAAACAGCGAAAAAAAAGTTCAATTCTTATAAGATTAAATCACTAAAATAAACAGCTAAGGGCCGCTTTGATTTGGTTGTGTTCTCTGAGCCTGTTGATTTAATTGCTAAGCATTCATTGTCCTTTTAAACAACATCCCCCTTCAGAGCAGGTTGGGAGAAGTTTAAACAGTGCAAACAAAAAAACCGCCAGAGAATTTCTAACAGCCTGGTACTCAGAAGAATCAGTGATTAACAAACACATTACTACTTATCAAATTTTGTTTTATTCCTTTTATTTTTTATTTGATTTTGATTACAGCTTGATACCACACCGTATTTTCCCCTTTTTACTGGGCCTACTACCAGCTAAGCGAGGTTTAGGAGTCTGTCGGCTGGCGACCAACTAATCAAAAGTAAATTACATGACAAAAAAGTTTAAATCCCAAGTCGATAAAAATTATCAATGTAAATTGACAACCATTCACAACAATGGTTGTCAGCCAATATAGTTATATCATTCATGGAGAATTCAAAAAAAAATTCACTTTATAGTAAAGCTTGCGCTGAACATGTTGCCAAGAAGGACAACGAAAACTTCTCAATTAAATCAACCAGTTGACTAGAACACAATCAAATCAAAATTATTTGAATTATCCATGAATAATACAATTTCAAAATTAGGAACCCATTCAACATAGATAGATTGAGGTTTAAAATCTTCACTGAAAATAATGATGTAAAGGTTTACTGCCAACTGGCTTAGCTCAGAAAATACACCTTGGTTAAGACATTTTTTCCATTAACATATACATATATATATATATATCAACAGAATTTCATTTGGAATCGAAAAATTTTTTTTCTTATTCTCATGTGATGATCGGTGTATTGTCTGAATAGTTGATGACGCCCTTTCTCTCTCCCCCTCCCTCTCTAATAGCTAACGCTTTCATTGTGCCAATGAAATGCCTTTTTATTTCATTATCAGATCAAGAAAAAAACCATAGTTGAAAACGAACACGTCTATCATCATCTGTATTAGGTACCGATTACAATTACTTCAACTATTTCTTAATCGGTGTGATCATATATATATATATATATGTCTTATAGAATTTTTTTTATATAATTACAACGTATAAGAAGAAATAGGATGACATACATATATCTTATTATACTGCTGTCACTTAGAGAATAACTGAAATGCTGCAGTCATATTCACCGATTATTTTATATGTGTTACCTATCATCCAATTTTTTTCATCCCTTGCCTCTTTTGATATAAATGTATTGAAAGCATTTCATATCAGATGATTATTATTATCACTAGTAATAGTAGTAGTAATATTAGATGTCTATAAATGCAAATATGCCACTTGCTGAAGAATAGCGCACATGTATAGGAAAGTTATGAAGATTTTTTCTTCTCTTCTTGTCAATCTGACAAAATATTCACTAATTCTGCTTCTTTTTTAAGCCATGAATATTAACATAAGTTTATACAAGGGCCAAAAAGATTGAAAAATATACTGGATAGCTGTAATTACATAGTGTTCAAGGGATTCACACTGTGTACGATGGTCACTTCATATATACATAATTTTCCCTTTCATATGTCTCAGAGACATAAGCAGCACTTGTTAAATGGAAATATTCATAGAACATACAAAGTAAAAAGGATGAAAGACGTAGGTCTCTGAAAAGACTCTTCACGGCAATTTCACTCACTACAGCTGTACAATCTTCAAAATACAAACAACTTTATCCCTTGCTTTCGTTTAAAACACACAATAAAATGTAAGGAATAGTTGAGAATATCTGCCATCAGTATGTGTTAATCGCTCCAGTGGTTCAGTGGTAAAATGCTAGCCAGTTTACATAGGAGGCCCAGGTTCAAATTCCGACCGATGAACTCCTAAAACTCGCCTAATCTACTAGTCACACTGATAAACCCGGAAAAAGAGGGGAGGTTAGGCTTGAAGCTAGCGACCCTTCCGTCTAAAAACTTCACCATTGCTACTGAGACTCTGGAAAGCCCGAAGCCCTATGTTCTCTTGGGAAGCAATAAATGAAAAAAATATGTCTCAGTCAAGTTCAAAATAAAAATTTGGCAAAGATGAATGATCGTGAAAAAGAAATTGTATAACACGACAAAATATCAGACGCACAAATTACTCTAGAAATAAGCATAGGACTAAGAAGTAACTGACTACTTAGGAATTATCTAGGATGAAGTAAACAGATATTTTCCAACAACACAAGATGAAAACTGTGGAGACATGAGACAGTGATTAAGTAAACCACCGCAATTGTTATCTCGATAAGTAAGGCTTCATTAATATAAAGTAGGCAGGCACTATCTGATTTTTCTTGGCTACTATTTTATACCTTTTAAATAACACTAAAAGAAGATGTCATTAAGAATAAATGACTAGTGTCAGAAAGATGTTTGATGACATTTTAAATAACATTCATTATTCTTTACAACTCTGCATTTATTTTGTCTGTTACTGTCTATCCTAAACAAAACAAATGTTGGTATTATTCATGAAACATAGTTGTGTATATTTCAGCTGCAGTTAATGGAACTGGCGAAAAGAGTCCCTCTGCTCAACTTTCTCTTTCTTAAATAACTGTGTATCTAAAATATTAATAAATTAGACTTATCTGACTACAGTGCAATACACATAAACTCGAAGCAAGTGTACTCATAATGGTGAGATGGTATGGGTCAATCAGCATCCTTAAAAAGACTCACCATAGTGTCATGTCACTTAGTATGTTGATCAGATCAAACACTTGATTGACAGGCCTCCATTACCATCTAGGGCTAAATAGTTAAAGGATTACGGTTCATTCAGAGAGACTTTGCCATTGAAAATTAAGAATATGGAAATATTATTGATTTATGTGACCATAAGTGCCTGCTTTCAATCTCTGATGCAATATGAAGCAATACGCTCATAAGTAGTGAGGTTCGGCTTACAGTGTTAAATGAAAAGGACAAGTCGATCGATATGATTTTCAAACTGCATCAATTTAGATGGCGTAGACGTGTGTTACGAATGAAAATCGACTGCCTAACTCGATTAGCAAATCAATCAGTCAGCGATTCAATAGTAAAATCCTGGGGATTGCGTCAGCTACTTACCATCAGCTGATGATTTACTCATGTAACTATGGGCATTAAATCTCTAACTATAAAACTGTCACGTGATTAGAAGACAGGATATCGTTTAATGTACCAATGGGATATCTTCCAACATTGGTAAGTGAAGCTCCTGGAATAACCTCCATAATCATTCACTACACATTAATTTTTACTGGGTTTTTCCCCCACCTTAATTTTACGATGACCATCATTTTCAAAATAATTACACCGCATCATTTAAACAAAAATAGAAAAATATTTAAACTGCCACAGTTGAAATAAAGAGAAAAGTCAAAGAAAAACAATTCCATTTCTATAATGAAAGGGCGAAAACAAATTAAAGTAAAAAAGGTATTCAAAGATATGAAAAATTAATTACCTTGGAAAAAACATTTAACCAGGAATGAACACAACAAAAGTAAGTTGACTACCAAGTAAGGCCAAAAAAGCATTAGTGTATAAGAAGAATAAACATGATTACAGTATAATATGGAGAAAAATTTGCTTGTTCGCATATTCGGCTTTCTGGAAAGTGCAGTGTACAAATCTTAAATCAACTTTATATTCCACACTGATGGTCATGGATAACAGTTGAATCCACAAGAGGCGTTCCCTCCTATTTCGAACTAGTCGGCTGGATGTACCCACATTCCCAGTGGGTGAAGTTATTCCCCCCCATTAGACACCATTGTTTCAAAAGCTAATGAGTCCTGAAATGTACTGCTAATTCCGTACTAGGAATCGAGACCAAGCATTCCGGTCCAATACAATCAATTAAAGGGGAAATACAAAATAACTAAAAAACTGATACCTCCTGAACAATAAGGGGCTCTCGTGGCCCAGTAGATAATTGTTTATTTTTTTGAAACAATGAATGGGGACAGCATCACTCCTTGGAGATGCAGCTAACGAATCCGAAGTATGGCGAAATGAACATCTTGGATTCCACCACTAACCACTATCGACCAAATCAAACCGTGCTAACTATCAGACATCGTTGAGGTGTCCGTACTAAGAGACGACATGTCAACAGAGACTGAGCATTTCGGTTCGATTAGTGGGAAATCCAAACTAACTTAAACAAATAACGAATAATTAATCGTTCCGTTAAGTATGCATAGCATTAGAAGGAGAAGTTTGTCTAAAAATGTGCTGTATGTGCGCAATAGATCACAAAAAAATCTGAACCTACATCTATTTGTCATTTTCAGTTTAATATGAAAATGGAGGGCCAATCAAAATAAACATATACCTTGATGAAATTACATTATCTGATTATATAGCGAGGCACGGTGCCGCGATTTACTTATAACTCATCCATTATCAGCCACCTTAATATTAAGGTTTCTATTATTCTGTTTATTTTAATCGTCTTTGCTGTTTTTATTTCATATTAGCTGTCTTTAATAAGCATATTCTTGAATATCTTATCTTACCGCTTTGCTTTCTGAGTGGAATATAGGGCTTCGGCTGGGGATCGAATCTGGAATCTTCAAGTTATGAGGCCAAGCTCTTTGAACATTCGACAACTTGGACTGGAATCCAGTCGCTTATGAATTCCCACTTTTGTCAATGAGTGATTTAAACACGAAAAGCAGCCAATGTCTACGTAGAGTATTTGTCCCCACACCCAACATGGTAGACCTCAAGGATCATAATTTCTCACCAGGGATTTGAATTTCTAAAAGTCTGATAGCGAATTGACAGAAGTTAGAATTCACGAGTCATTGAATTCCGGTCCAAGTGTCTGAACGGTCAACAAGCTTAGCTTCGTGACCTGTAGGTCACAAGTTCGATCTCTAGAGAAGTTGTGAGTGTGCACTGATGAAGAGTTTCAAGTTAGGACGAAACATCCATCTAGTAATCTCTGGTTTTAAATGGTTCTGTAACTGACATCAACCCGTGATCACACTTGAAACAAATCAAATCCCAACAAAAACTTCTTGAAAATAATGTACCATTATAAACTGATAGTTGAGCATTACACTTAGTGATGAGAGTGAAATAATGACCTGGTTAACAGTTGGTTTAAATCCTATCGGTATCCAAATTTTCACTTCACCTTTAGTTACCATACATTCGAAAAAATAATTATAGACAAAAGAAAATCAGAATTAATTTTGTACATACTAATTTATGCCTTTAACAGTTTTATTCGGATAGTATGCCACAGGACCAATATTTTCGTCATCAGCAGGATTCTGGAAAAAATAAAATAATGACAAAAAAGCAATGTAGTTAGAACTTATTTTGAAATATTTTTTTTGCAAAACATAAAATGAAGGCTTGAAAGCAAAAGTTAGAATGATTTCTGTCGGCTAGCAGCACAACATTATGGTTCGTGTCGAGTTTTAACCCACCGAGATGCAATGATGTGCCTCCAACGGATTTCATAGCATACTTGATCACCCAGAACTCAGGTTTATATCGATCTCAGTTTCATCAGTAGCAAATACCACAGAAAGGTAGGGATACGCGCAGAGCTGTTTCCTTTCACTGACAACAGTTCGAAGTACGGGCCACCAAAAATGGTGGCCACACTGCAAAATTAACTGATAGTATTCAGTCTACACTAAACGAAAGACCAGATACGTGGCATTAGTTACTACCTAGTGCCTAATCAAAGTATCCACTACAGTCCAACAGGAGACCAATCGCGAGCCCGAATAACCCAGTGGTGACTTCTCTGATTGCAGTACTGGGTGACCTGGGTTCGGATCTTAGAGGGGATATGGCGTCCTTCAAGATTTTAGATACGCCTTGCGCTGACAAACAGAAACCCTAGGTCTGAGGCTTCTTGTCGAATGCCTCCAAACATCTAACAACACGTTTGATCATTCTTTTGTGCTATACTTATTAAATATATCTCTTTAATCTATTGTAAGTTTTAGTAGTGTAAATTGTACGGTCTTCGAAACAATTTATCAGTACCTTCATTGTCCGATTAACGGCTTTTGATGAGTCTATTTCATTTCAAAAATAGATCAAGAACAAGGGGATTCGTGCAGAAATTCATAACGTTATGTTCAAACAAGAGATTTTATTTAGCAAGTCACTCAATCATAAGGATGTTTTCACGTTTAACACCTTAATGCATTCATCAATCACATGAGCAATCAGAAAGTCGGTCGAAGTTATGGAGAAGGAGAACAAGGTCCTGTTTTTTGGTTATAGTTCACTTCAGTTAGTATAGAAACTGGTGGGAGAGATTTGCAACAGTTTACTGACTGTGCAGTGTTCCTTTTCTCAACTATACGTCCAGTAGGTTACCATATTATAACAATGACATACTGTATTGAACAAAATTCTCTGACAGTGCCCCAAAACTATGGTCATACAATTTATTTTAAAATGAAAACCACTAGATAGTAATGATAAATGTAAATAAATGCTTATATGCTCGTAGAAAATGATCGGTTCGATTTATTAGGATTTGAAAATTGGGATATGTTGCAATTTTTCTTTATTGAATTTCCCGCTAATTGATTATAAGGGACGGAAATGCTCGGCTTCTACTGTGAACTCCCTGCTGATGCCTTGAAACTAACATGGTATTATTTAGGTTGGAAGTGGCGAATAGTGGAATCTGTAATGCGCGCGTTATCCTATTTTGGGACTAATAAGTTGGATATACTTGTATCTCAGTGAGTGGTAGTGGTCTAAAGTAATCAGTCGAGAAGTAATTCGAAGTAAGTTTTTTTTAAACAACTCATACCCATTGCAAAATAGGTAACTATCATAGCCAGCGGACTAAAACATAACTCTGACGCGTTTGAAACGATGGGTGCTAAGTTCAGGTAACAGTGCGGTCACCACCACTCACTCAAAGGCAGATAAATTTAGATGAGGTACGAGATAGGATGAAACGTGCATCCTGGATTCCACTGTTAGCCAGCATCAATCAAAATAAAACAATTAGGAATTATGAAACGTGATAACCATACGTTTATCTAGCTTATCTCTCAGTCACTTGATATTTCACATTGGTTACCAGACCAAAGTAGATAGAACCTGAAACTTATTGGTATAAATTCGAGTGGTAAAACCACACAGCCTCAGTTTGTCTAAAAAATCCCTAGTAACGAACATGAAAGAGTACAATTTTGAATTAAGTTATTGGAAGTACTGTTAGAAAGGAAACATTACAAAAACTCTCCTGCAATTTTTTTTTATTGCTGAATAACTATATAACCAAATTGGAGTTATAGCTCACTGGATTAAGCACTAGGTATTTAGCAAATTGGTTTTAGGTTTGAATCCCAATCCACCTACTTCAGACTGAACTCCATGGTAGTAGTATCACCAGTCCTTTACAAAATAAGTGCAGCTCATATTTGGGTAAGTGGAAGACCTGTTTCAAGTCAATGAGTTCAAACTACAATATAATCAAACTTCCATTTATTACTAAATTCTCCGGAAGCTGAACAAATAAGACACACACCTAAAATAGTCAGCAAAGAATAAGCTGAACACGATTATAATTTTTGTCTTAAATACTCTAAAAGATGAATAAACTAGACGACATATTAAAAAGTGGAGTATTTTACTTCCGGTTACACTTGAATTAATTATTCTCATATTAATGACTTGATATAGTGAATTTTAAAAAAAATTATAAATCATTGACATTTCATCATCATCAGAAATTACAGAAATATGAATAAAATGCGTTTTTCCGCTAAGCAAATAATTAAGGATAGGAAAAGCGAGAAGAGTTGACATCACTTGGCTTCATGGCATGAGCTTTTTCACTACAGATGTTAACATCAATTATGAGAAATTTTCAAGAATTGGTTTTTTAGAGATTTTGATTGATTGGTTACAGGATTTCATCATGAGCTGACATCATTTGGAGAACCACTGGAAAACCTGCAGGGAGTACTAAACAGTCGTTTCGTCCTAGTTTGGGACTCTTCATCAGTACACACCACCGGGGTTCGAACACAGGACCTTCTGGTTACAAGACGAGCGCGTAGACCATTAAGCCACTGGAATCCGATCCAATGGCCAGCCCATGAATTCTAACTTCTGCCAATTCATGACATAGCGCGACCACTCCGCAATGTCTTCTTCGATGATTTACTGCCTCACCTTCAATCTGCTGTACCCTACTGGTCACAGCTTCCCACTAGAACCCCAAGTAACTACCCTAATAGGGCCAGTCGCTAGTGAGCTTCAGATCAATTTTCAAGTATTGGTTTTGTAGAGTTTTTGTTTGATTGGTTGGAGGATTGCAGCTCACTAGCGACTGGCCCTATTAGGGTAGTTACTTGGGGTTCTAGTGGGAAGCTGTGACCAGTAGGGTACAGCAGATTGAAGGTGAGGCAGTAAATCATCGAAGAAGACATTGCGGAGTGGTCGCGCTATGTCATGAATTGGCAGAAATTAGCACTCATGGACTGGCCATTGGATCGGATTCCAGTGGCTTAATGGTCTACGCGCTCGTCTTGTAACCAGAAGGTCCTGTGTTCGAACCCCGGTGGTGTGTACCGATGAAGAGTCCCAAACTAGGACGAAACGACTGTTTAGTACTCCCTGCAGGTTTCCCAGTGGTCACGAAGTAGGGAAAAAGGGGAATTGAACTAAAGAAAATTCCTGCAAGGAATAGAGTGATGAAACTTCGACACCTGTGAACAAAAACTTCTGATCGACTGACATCTTCCATTTTTAGCAACGATGTCCCATACCCGTGCACAGTGAACATTTATTTTGATGGATAGCTGAAAATCATTCTTGTGCTAAAGATGACTCAATTAGCCAAATGCCAAAGCAGCTTTCCGGATATTTGCTAAGAGTTTGTAAGCACCTTCACAAAGTCAACACATTCAACCTTTCCACTGCCTATATTTAAACCAGAAGTTAGTCCAAACCATTTCGTTAGAAACATCTTACAACTTACAAAGACGAATCACATGCGAAGTGCATTCATAATTCCACCAAAGATATTCAACAGACTCTCCCTTTTACACTGTTTTCACCTACAAGGACTATATAATCTGAGTAGTTTAAATCAAAAAGAATTTTCACCAGATATCAAGTCTACCAACAAGATGGATACCAATAGGGTCACTTCCTTCAGTATATCTACAATGAAATTGAATAAGAATGGTGACACTGAGTATCTCCAACGGACTCCACTGGTTATCATTCATTCAAATGACAACTGTCTATAAACTTTTGCTTTACCTTTCTCAAAACTCCTTCCACAAACAAGCATTGCGTTATTGTCTCTATATATCGAGACTGAAATAGGGGCGTCAAGCTGAAAGCAGACGCACTGATCACTAATACCACTTGACTACGCCAACAACATGATAAATAAAATAATGGGCCTTATTTTAAGTGAACCAAATTCCGATTGATTGATTTCTAGGCTGGACATATCCCACCATATCGCATTGTCACAACACTCTTCAATCGACGGAGTCAATTATCACCTCCAAGTTTAGAAATGTGGTAGTTACTAGAAGTATGCACCTTAGAACCCGTTGAAGCGTGGTGACTGGGTCGTTCCACCCTAATCAGACCCTGAAAACTGTCCCTTTTTCTAGAGTTTACTTTTCCAGAAACATACTATCCCCCTGTATGATTATTAACCCTAAGGTATTAGATTCTGCTCTGGTTAGGGGGATCCCCCTTGATTGCCACAAAAATAGATTATCAACGACTTACACCGATCCAGTAGAACTATTTATCATTTGCATAAACTAACTAGTAACCCGATTAGTCAATAATTCACCATACAGTATCTAAATCAGCCACGCCAAACAGTAATGGCTGCCAGTTAGACAGAAGTGGCCTAAAGTGAGTTTGTCCAGACACACCACTGATGACCCCCAACTCTAAACGATGTCAAGACTGGTTCGATAAGTCTAGTAGGCACACTGCTGTTTGCTGAAGGTAGTTTCGGAATACTCATATCAACCAGTCAGCAGTATGTACCACAACTGATAACTTCGCAACTGGTATCACACTGAGACACAGAGTTGGCATTAAGATCTTAACATAGTTCCGCTTGGCAGAGGACTTCACTAATAATTTTTGATACTGATATGTTTGAGCCTAACCTTGGACCGTGCTTCTCTTATAACTTCTAATATCTAATACTTAGTGTATTCAAAAGCGGGTAGGTAGCGCTATATCGCAAATTAGTAGAAGTTGGAACTCATAAGCCTTTGGATTCCGTTACAGTGGCTGAATG